TGGAATACTCACTGTGTATTGAGGAATGGAAAGAAGGATTATGTATGAAACCAGTGGTTCTCAAACTTTTATACTGGTGACCCCTTTCACATAGCAAGCCTTTGAGTGCGACCCCTCTTATAAATTAAAAACACTTTTTAATATATTTAACACCATTATAAATGCTGGAGGCAAAGTAGGGTTTGGGGTGGAGGCTGACAGCTCGTGACCCCCTGAGAGGTTCTGACCCCCAGTTTGAGAACCCCTTGGTAAAAGCTAACCTGAAAGAAACTAAACTTGCTATTTAGTCTCCCTTGGTCTTTGAAAACATTTATCAGTGAAAATGTGAAGAGTCAGGGCTTTCTCTTGTTTTTACTACTTTTGTATTGTTCTGCTTTCAATTTAAGCTTTAGACATACCACAGCTTTGTCCTTCCTACTTATGTTAGTGCTATTAGATATTCACTGAAGGTTGTCTGGTTAAAGACATGACTCTCATACCGCTAGCACTGCATTTGTTTCCCCCACGCACCTGGTTCATTGCCCCTGAATTGTGCTCCTGCATTTCCTGGCAATTGCAAACATTTTTTAATCTAAATACTTAGCTTGATTTTTTTAAAGGAAATTATTGCAGCTTTGTGTATTAATATAGAGTTTTTACCTACTTGTAGCTTTATTAGGGAGGAAATATGATTTTGTGGTTATGTCATGGGTCTGGAATTTGGAAGTTGTTGGTGATCTGCACACCTCTGCCCCAGACTTTGGGCAAATCCCAGTTTCTCCATCTGTAAAATGAAAGTACTTGCCTTTTTCACCATTGTATTAGGCATAATTCATTAACATCTACTATGCTTTGAGATCCTCAGGTAGAAGTTACTATGGAAGTACAAATCATTCAAGTCTCTAATGTGAGACTAGCATCTTCCTTGCACATAGAGCAAGTGAACTGGAATCAGGCTGTAGCACTGATGTTCACTTTAGCAAATGGGGTTAAAAATCATACTGCTGTTTTTGAAATACTAAATTAATATAACATTTTCTTTATGTGCTTGATAGGAATTCTATCTAGGATATAAACTCCTAACTATAACATCAACCTTAAAAAAAATCAAAATTCTTATCAGCTATTTATTATGCATGCTAAATATAGGTCTTTCTCCGATATAAACATTTCAAACAAATTAAAAACTTGGAGTGACTAGACTGAATGAACAGCTTCATGTCAAGAATGAAGAGATGCATGTGCTCAGTACTATAAGAGTATTAGCATGAAAAAATGACTGATCTATAAATACACTGAAGACTTTACAAGAGAGGATCTAACCTGTCCAAGACAATTAGTGTATACTAATATGCTGAAGGGTACAGAACCCCTCACTAAACAGAGTGATCTGGTAAAATGAGACTGCCTGCAAAGCGGGAGTTTTGCTCAGAGGAGCAAGCCAGTGAACTGTCAGGTTGTAAGCAGTTCTGAGATTTAATGAAAAACCGGTGTATGGCTAAAATGCATGCAGAGATCTCTTGCAGTAAGTTAATTTTTGTCTGCAAGACCATACAGGATGATGCAATTTTGTCATCTTTTTCACTTTGTTTATATCATTCCAACAGATGGCTCGATAGACACACGGCCCATGAAAACTCTTCATATAGTAAGCATAGTCAGCCCTGTTGTATTAGTGGGATCAAACAAAATTAGTTAGGAATATTTTTAAACATTAGTCTGACAAACTTTTTTTTAATCAGATTTTTGCTTTAACAATTGGTAGTTAATTCTGTATCAGTTTTTGAAACACTGCTTTGCAGGAAATCCAAGGCTCTCTTCATATTTACTGAGTAAGATATGACAGTGTGGATTATTGTGAAGTGATTCACCAATACTCTGGTTGCTAATGCTTTTAGGGGTGTGTATACATGTACTAATACATGGTGAATGAAGTCTATACACAGGAATCCTATTGCAGTAATTTTAAAATAGCGTTTTGTGACTCCTATCAATACCCCTAAAAATGTTCATTTGGTCAGATTCATTGCTGATCATATCCTTATCCATTTGCTTTTAACAAAGTGGCCAAGATTTATTGCTTCAGCAGGAGGTATTAGCCTTCCATAATGCAGCTATGCTAATTGTGCAGTACTTGATTACGTTAGGTGAGAGGAATAAATTCCTTCCTCCTTGCTGCAGGTTATCAGTTTATACTGAGAATTTTGAGGTTTGATTAACTGTACCTTTACCATAGCTTGCCTACTTTGAGGTATTTTTGATCATACATTATCCAATCTGTGTTTTACATGTAGCCACAATGTATAACCTCCCATAATCGTTAATTCATAAAGCTGATTTTGCTGCATAAAGTATTTCCTCTTATTCTAAATTTAATACCCTCCCCTTTCATTAAGTCTTCCACTTGCTTTCATATGGGAGCAGGTTAAAGGGAAGGGACTGATAGTTTTAATCATAAGCTTAATAATTAATATTGAGTTTGTTTTTGTTGAATGTTTGTTTTTGTTGAATGATCCTAGGCCAGGTATACACTACAGTAGTGCTCTTCACTGTTTTTGAAGTGGGGTCCGCTTTGACAAAAAAACTTCAATGTGAGAGCCACCTTAATCTGACACAGATGATTGAACACTCAGAGTTCTTTGTTGGTTGAAGGGGGGGTATGGGATGTGGGCTCTGGGAGGGGGCTTGGGCTGCAGGAGGGGGTATTGGAGGCTGCAGGTTGGGTGGTGGAAGAGCTATTCAGAACCTGCCCATTGAAGGGAGCAGCAGTTACTTCAGATGGCCCCGGCCCCAAGCCACTCCCGGAAGGGGCCAACGCAGCCCCTAGGGGGACACATGGCTCAGCATGATGCCCCTTTCTGCAGGCATGGTCCCCAAACTCCCATTGGCCACAGTTCCCTGTTCCTGGCCAAGGGGAGCTGCGGGGGCAGTGCTTGCAGGCAGGAGCAGCGCGTGGAGACCTCTGCTTCCCCTGTTATCCCCCGGGGCTGCGGGGGCATGCTGGCCGTTTCCGGGAGCGGCATGGGGCCGGAGTAGGCAGGGACTTGCCTTAGCTGCAGCTCCACTGCACCGCCAGAGAGCGCGATTGACAGGGAGCTGCACTTAGGGTTGAATGGATCCGCCACTGGCTCGCGGGCCTTGCAGCGAAGAACACTGCACTATGGACTTATATCGGTATAACTATGTCTCTCAGGAGTGTGAAAAATCCACACCCCTAGGGAACAGTTATACTGACCTAACCCCCAGTGTAGACAGCGCTATGTTGGCGGAAGAGCTTCTCCTGTCGACATAGCTACCACCTCTCGTGGAGGTGGATTAACTACACTGCGTCACCGTAGAAGCACCTTTACTTAAGCACTCCAGTGGTGCAGCTGCGCCTATGCAGTGTTTTCAGTGTAGACCTGTAGGCTTTACAGTTTCTCATGGAGTGCAAGTTCCACCATGCCCTTTGAGACTTTATAATTGGGCACAATACTCAGATGAGTTTCAAGTATCAGAGGGGTAGCCGTGTTAGTCTGGATCTGTAAAAAGCAACAGAGTCCTGTAAAAAGAACAGGAGTACTTGTGGCACCTTAGAGACTAACAAATTTATTAAAGCATAAGCTTTCGTGGACTACAGCCCACTTCTTCGGATGCATATCTCTGAAAAGAGTCCTGTGGCACCTTATAGACTAACAGATGTATTGGAGCATAGGTTTATGCTCCAATACATCTGTTAGTCTATAAGGTGCCACAGGACTCTCAGATGAGTTTGTAATTCTTTGTATAACCTAACTTCTGTCTTTTCATTACTGTACTTCAAACACCCAAGCAAGTTTTCTGTAGCAGCTGCTGTGCACTAGGTAGACTTCTTGATTGCATTCTGTTGTAGAACTCATTTTTTTTGTAGAACTCATTTTTTTTGCAGCATACTAACATACTATAAATTCTGATGTTTCATGAACAATTAAGTGTCTTTGACCACTTTTAAAGTGTAAATTGTAGCCTATTTTAATATCCTGTATGCTAGTCTTCTGGGCTGATTACATTAAACAAAGGCATTCTTCATTTATTAAGAAGATTTGAAAACTGATCATGAGTAATTTTTTTTTCAAATGTGATTAGTGATAGAACCGTTCCATTAAGTTCCAGCAGCTGTGAAATGGGACCATGTGACCTGCGGTCTCTTCCACATTCCTGATTATACAGTATCAAGTGATTTCAAGGCTCATTGATCAGCTGATTATTCGCTTCATGCACCTCCCAGAAGAAAGTTGAACAGATGTGGTGCCTTAACTTTTGTGTTTTCCCATTGTTATACACATGGAGATTGGCTCTGTTGGTTCAGGGTTCACCTCTGCTGCCCCTTTTATCTTCCTCCAACACCTTCCAGGTTTCATCACGATGGCTTCCTTCCAATCCGTCAGAAGGTGGATTGTAAGTTTCCTTTAGAACCAAACAACGTGGCTGTAAAAGGTCATCTGCAAATGAAAATCTTAAGGTTCACCTATTCAGCACATCCATAATAAAATACTTTTTGGATCCCCCCGATGTCAGTTGGTTCCAACTTAAATATAATGGCCCATCATGCACAGTCACACCTGCCATGAAGCTCTGTCATAGCCTGGAGCAAGCTCATTGGGCCTTGAGTAATTCTGTTTATTGTTTCTGGCTTCTCAGTTTCTGTACCCTCAAAGGGAATACAGTTATTTAAAAAACTGAAAAATCATTAAATGGACTTGCCTAGGCTTCTCAGAACTCTGCTGGAGTTTCATGGTAGCTGTGAAGTCTGTACATGGTCTATGCTAGGTTGTCACACTGGGCATGATTTTGGTAGACCTGGAGGAGAGATGTTAGCTTTTAGAGTTGTGCGAGGTGCTTCTGAAGAACCATTTATCCTGACTAGAGGAAATGTTCAGAGCATGGTGCAGAAAATGGTGGGATTTTGAAATATTTGTGGTTCACCTTTAAATCATACAGATAAATGGTAGCTGAGTTTAAATGCTCCTCAAGTACCTAACTTTGTTGTTTGCTTTCTTTAGGTATACATTATTCAAGTCAGTGTTGGGAGTCATCAGTGGACAGTCAAACATCGTTACAGTGACTTCCATGACTTGCATGAAAAGGTAAAGATCAGAAGACTGGTCTTGAGCTCTTGCAAAATAAATAACTTGTCAAATCTTGCTCCATGGCACAAACTTACTGACATCCTTATAAAAAAAAATATAAAATAAGGGATATTTGGCCTTTGGGATGTAGTGTTAATGAAAGAGCAGATTAACTGAATTGCAAAATGAAGTCCTCACTGCACAAGCAATACAGTCTGCCTCTTCTATACTCCCTTGGATAGACATATCGGCCAATAAGAAGGTAGTTCAACTATTAGGAGGGGCCCTGGCCATTTGACTTGCTAGGATGAAGAATGTTTTCATTGCCTCCCAGATCAAGCCAAAAAAAACCCACCCCTAAACCCAACCACAGCTATCCAGTCAGCAGAGGGGGAAAAAATCCAAACAAACCTGTTTAATTAGTGCAAAGCAAAAACAAATAAAAGCATTATGGCGCCCCCTGGAAGTTAGCATCTGCTTGTCACCAAACCCTAGAACCAACCATGCAGACCCTAATCCTTACACTCTTTGCTGAGAGTGCCATATGTGATCTGTTCACCGGAAGCTGGTTTCAGACCAAAGACTTGCTTCATATGGGTTACAAATGAGCAACCATTGGATAGTAATTTCTAATACCTATCAACCTGTACTGATTTAAAACAGCAATATCAAAATATGGAATTCAAGGTCCAGACTCTAGAGAAACATTTTTCACACCGAAATAATAAGTAAATAAAAAGATTTTGCGGTCCATTCTAAAGCATCTGGAAATCTGGATTTGTCCCGTGGTCTGCCAGTGACTACCCCTGATCTTGTGGAACAATGCTGGTGGTTGTACTTGATGTTTTTGGGGAGGCTGGGGAAGATTAGGGTTCAAACGTTTGCAGACACTGCCAAAATAAAATATACTTATTATTGTTAAACTTACTGTTGTTGTTTTCTTGTTCTAATATTCTTACCTCCCTCCAAAAAAACTGTCTGAAATGTATAGAAATTGAGATAAGTAGCCAAGTAACTGCAGTTTCAGAGAAATGTTACAGGAAAAAAGAAAACATTCTCTTAAGATATTAAGTTGTACAATATTACATCCTTCTTGCAAGATCAAAAACTACTTGGGTAATAACTTATCATATTTCTGTTTCTACAGCTTGTTTCAGAAAAGAAGATAGATAAAAACCTGCTGCCTCCAAAGAAGATTATTGGGAAAAATTCCAAAAGTCTGGTGGAGAAAAGAGAGAAGGAATTAGAAGTTTACCTGCAAACGCTTCTGGTCAAATTCCCCATTGCTGCACCCAAATTGTTGTCACACTTCTTACACTTTAATTTATACGTAAGTTGCATCCTAGCTATCTAGGGATTTATAAAGTGCCCTCTCACTGTGGTATCTTGCCAATTTGAGTCAATGAGCAGAGCAGGAGTCCAGTGAAAGTTTACACCTTAATTTTGAAGTAGTTTGGGGTTTTTTTTACTTAATTAAACAAAACAGCTTTAAAATCACTCCCTTTTCAGGATTTGGGCAACATAAAAAGTTAGGCCATAGAATGAGCTTTTCCAATGAAATCTTTGACGCTGTCCCTACTGTCATTGAAACTGTGCTAGCAAATAATGTGGACAGGGCCTTTGACATGAAAAATATGTTGGAGTGATACTCTGGTGCTCTGAATGAATCTGCAGTTGCATTAATTGTTAGTCTGAAATCAATATTGTTAGGTCTCAAAAGGAACATTATGTAATTGAACCCAACCCTGCTTAATGGTTAGTGGTTAGCACTATGGTTCATATTAAGACCGCTTCCAGTAGGCCAAATGAAGAAAAATGGTCTCTCTCCAGGAAATCATACTGATGGAGTGGCCTCTAGAGAAATATCTCTACACAGCAGATCAAGCATTCTCTGCTATAATATTCTAAGTAAGAAGCAATAACTTCTTATTGTGGTTCACAGGTTGAAAATGGTTCATTCATCTCTTGTGATTGGGTTTCTCCTTTTTGTAGCATGCTGTTGTGTTGTAAGGCTAAGCAGACATTACAAAGAGGAACATGCATTGGGTTTGAGCAGGAAGGAAAAGTAGTAATTGCTTTAAATGGATGGATATGTGATGGGGTGGATTATTATCGTTAAGGCTACAATTATGTCACAGAGGTCACGGAATCTGTGACTTCCACTGACCTCTGAGACACTTTCTGCACCAGGGCTGGAGCTCCTAGCCAGCCCCGCCCCCACAGCTCTCAGCCTGGTGAGAGACCCCCCACAGCTGCCCACCATGGTGGTGGAGGACCAGGGAGCCCAGCAGCAGCAGTGGATGCTGAATCCACCTATCCCTTTTGTCAGGGATATTTTTAGTGAAAGTCAGGGACAGGTCACGGGCTTTCGTGAATTTTTGTTTATTGCCTGTGTCCTGTCCATGACTTTTTTACTAAAACTATCCATGACAAAAACCTGGCATTAATTATAGTTCAGTGCAGAGGTTTTGGAATTGAGTCACAAATGATCAGTTAAGTACGTTGATTAAGCTTTAGTGACCAAAGCAAAACCATTTCAAAACACATAATGTGATCATAAATGAGTTTACAATGGTTGACTGGAGTAAATAGAGGTTTATTTCCCGTATCTGTATAATGGGGGTTAATATTTCGATCCATTAATGTTTTGGAAGATGTTTGATTTCAAATGGACGTACTTATATAGTGGATGTACAAAGCATTATTGTGTAGGCAATTTAACTTATATTCTTTAAAAAAAAGTATTGTTTTCAAACACACATTGTTTTTGTTTCTTAACTGTGGCTGCCCAATTTGAGATAGTAGGAGGTATGAATTTCAGAGGTGCTGTATACCTGTAACTGCTGCTGAAATTGTGCTTGCCCCACACCTCTGAAAGTCAACCTTGTGTCTGACATTGAGCATCTAAACTGTAACAGCATGTGTAATACTCTATTTAAATTGATTTTTAATTTAGCATGAAAGCTAATAATTTAATTCAGAGTACCTCAGGGTTCAGAGTGCTTTACAAACCCTTACTATACCTAGGCTTGCGAGAATTTGCTTTTTATTTTTTTTATAACTTTGACATAAGAATGTTTATTTTTAAGGATTTTTTCTATTTACATTTTCACAGTTGTGAGAAATTATGGGGGGAATATGTATGAGGGGTCAGACAATTTAATGACAGTAGATGAGATTCAAAAAGTTTTAAAGCTTTATAGCAGTTAATACACAAATTGTAAATATCACATATCAAAATATACAAAGTAAATATCCTTCAATCAAACTCTAATAAGTTCTCAAGCAGCACTTTTCTTGCTTTTCCTGTCTGTACATTTAGATTATTATCCAGGGTAGTAGTTTTTCCTCGGTTTCTACTTGTATGCTGAAATCAGCATTTATTGACATTTACCAATAATAATCTAATCCTTCCAAGCCTAAGTATACCTAATGAGAGGCACTGTAATAGCATTTTACAGTTGTTCAAACTCAGGGACAGAGGTTGAGACTTGCCGATGACCATCTGGCAAGTCAGTGCTAGAGATGAAAAGAGGACTTGGAGTCTCAATCCCCAGTCCTCTGCTCTTGTGCTAGACTACTTTCCCCTTTGTGTCTGGGAATATATCCAAACCCAGCTCATTGAAACTTACTTACTGCTATGTATTTATCCACTCATCTTTATTTTAAAAATATTAGAACTGGGGTTAGCTATCTAGACATCGACCCTCATTCTGTCTTTGGATAGTACTTGTGTGTTAGCAGCAAAGTGCAGTGCTGCTTAAATTATACCTCTTTTCCCAGTAGGCAAATCTGGGTTGATGTATAAACTCATAAAATCTTTTTGTTTGGCTGTTCTAGAATACTTTAAAATATTTACATTAGTTACACATCAAAAAACCCTAAATATTAACTTAGCAATTTTGCTAAATAAATATACCCTCCAGCAGGCCTTTAAGAACATAATGACTGCCTAAGAAGGAGTACTGTGGGAAAGGATCTGGGCATCATAGTTGACCACAAGCTAAATATGAGTCAATAGTGTAACACTGTTGCAAAAAAAGCGAACATCATTCTGGGATGTATTAGCAGGAGTGTTGTACGCAAGACACGAGAAGTAATTCTTCCACTCTACTCCGCGCTGATTAGGCCTCAACTGGAGTATTGTGTCCAGTTCTGGGCGCCACATTTCAGGAAAGATGTAGACAAATTGGAGAAAGTCCAGAGAAGAGCAAGAAAAATGATTAAAGGTCTAGAAACATGACCTTTGAGGGAAGATAGACAAAACAAACCCAATTTTTTCTGGAAAAGACGACTGAGGGGGACATAACAGTTTTCAAGTACATAAAAGGTTGTTACAAGGAGGAGCGAGAAGAATTGTTGTTGTTAACCTCTAAGGATAGGACAAGAAGCAATGGGCTTTAATTGCAGCAAAGGAGGTTTAGGTTGGACATTAGGAAAAACTTCCTAACTGTCAGGGTGGTTAAGCACTGGAATAAATTGCCTAGGGAGTTTGTGTAATCTCCATCATTGGAGATTTTTAAGAGCAGGTTAGACAAACACCTGTCAGGAATGGTCTAGATAATACTTAGACCTGCCACGGGTGCAGGAGACTGGACTAGATGATCTCTCGAGGTCCCTTCCAGTCCTATGATTTATAATGGGGTGGGCAAGCTATGGCCCGGGGACCACATCTGGCCCTCGAGCTCCTGCCGGGAAGTGGGGTCTGCATAGCTCCCGGAAGCAGCGGCATGTCTCCCCTCCGGCTCCTATGCGTAGGGGCAGCCAGGGGGCTCTGCACACTGCCCTCACCGCAGGCACTGCCCCCACAGCTCCCATTGGCTGGGAACCGCAGCCATGGGAGCTGCAGGGGAGGCGCCTGCGGACAGGGCAGTGTGCAGCGCTGCCTGGCCTCACCGCTGCATAGGAGCCAGAGAGGGTACATGCCGCTGTTTCTGGGAGCTGCTTGAGGTAAGCGCTACCTGGAGCCTGCCCCCCTGATCTCCCATGCCCCAACCCCCTGCTCCAGCCCTGATCCCCCTCCGAACTCCTCGGTCCCAGCCTGGAGTACCCTTCTGTACGCCCAACTCTTCATCCCAGCCCTACCCCAGAGCCCGCACCCCCAGCTGGAGCCCTCTCGCACCCCATCTCCCAATTTCATGAGCATTCATGGCTCGTCATACAATTTCCATACCCAGGTGTGGTCCTTGGGCCAAAAACTTTGCCCACCCCTGTTCTATAACATAAGACTGGCCATGCTGAGTCAGACCAATGGTCAGTCTAGCCTAGCATCCTGTCTTCTGACAGTGGTTGGTGCCAGATGCTGCAGAGGGAATGAACAGAGAACAGGGCAATTATTGAGTGATCCATCCCCCGTCTTCCAGTCCCAGCTTCTGGCAGTTAAAGGTTTGGAGACACTCAGAGCATGGATTTGTGTCCGTGAGCAGCGTGGCTCATAGGCATTGATGGACCTATCCTTCTTGAATTTATCTAATTTTTGTTTGAACCCAGTTATATTTCTGGCCTTCACAACATTCCCTGGCAATGAGTTCCAAAGGTTGACAAAGCATTGTATGAAAAAGTGCTTCCTTATGTTTGTTTTAATCCTGCTGCACTGGTCCCTGTACAGATCGTTGGTGGACCCCTCTATTTACCACTCTCCATTGTGAAAACTGATCATTTATTCCTACCCTTTGTTTCTTATCTTTTAACCAGTTACTGATCTATTAGAGGACCTTCCCTCTTATCCCATGCCTGCTTACTTGGTTAAGAGCCTTTGGTGAGGAATGTTGTCAAAGGCTTTCTGCAAGTCTGTGTATACTATATCCACTGGATCCATGTGCACATGCTTGTTGATACCCTCAAAGAATTCTAATAGATTGGTGAGGCATGATTTCCCTTTACAACAGCTGTGTTGACTCTTCCCCAACATATTGTGTTCATCTATGTATCTGATAATTCTGTTTTTCACTGTAGTTTCAACCAATTTGCCTGGTACTGAAGTTAGGCTTACTGGCCTATAATTGCCATACCACAATTAGTAGTTCTGCAATTTGGTGTTTAGTATCAGAGGGATAGCCGTGTTAGTCTGTATCCACAAAAACAAGGAGGAGTCCGGTGGCACCTTAAAGACTAACAGATTTATTTGGGCATAAGCTTTCGTGAGTAAAAAAAACACTTCTTTAGATGCATGGAGTGAAAATTACAGATACAAGCATAAATATACTGGCACATATTTATGCTTGTATCTGTAATTTTCACTCCATGCATCTGAAGAAGTAGTTTTTTACCCCCAAAAGCTTATGCCCAAATAAATCTGTTCGTTTTTAAGGTGCCACCGGACTCCTCGTTGTTTTAAATTTGGTGTTCCTTCAGAACTCTTGGGTGAATCCCATCTGGTCCTGGTGGCTTATTGCTGTTTAATTTATCAATTAAAAGGATGTGGGAATCTCCCTCACATCCTCTCCAGTGAAGATGGATTCAAAGGATTCATTTAGCTTCTCTGCAAGGACCTGGTCTTTCTGGAGTGCTCCTTTAGCACCTTGATTGTCCTGTGGCCGCACTGGCTTCCTGCTTCTGATGTACTTAAAAAAATGGGGTTTTTTGCTGTTAGTTTTTGCATCTTTTGCTAGTTTCTCTTCTAATTCTTTTTTTGGCCTACCTAATTATACTTTTACACTTGACTTGTCAGAGTTTATGCTCCTTTCTATTTTCCTCAGTAGGATTTGACTTCCAAGTTTTAAAGGATGTCTTTTGGTCTCTGCCTGCCTCTTTTACTCTTTTTAGCCATGGTGGCGTTTTATAATTGGGGTATATATTTAGTTTAAGCCTCTATTACAATGTTTTTAAAAAGTTTCCATACAGCTTCCAGGCATTTCACTTTTGTGACTGTTTCTTTTAATTTCCATTTAACTAGCTTCCTCATTTTTGTGTAGTTCCTCTTTGTGAAGCTAAATGCTACTGTGGTGGGTTTCTTTGGTATTTTCCTCCCTACAAGGATGTTCAATTTAATGACATTATGGTCACTGTTAGGGAGTGGTTCAGCTGTTTTCACCTCTTGGACCAGAACCTGTGTACTTCTTAAGAATAAATTAAGAATTGCCTGTACCCTTGCAGGTTCCAGGACTAGCTGTTCCAAGGAGCTGTCATTAATGGTGTCTCAAAATTTTATCTCTGCATCTCTTCCTAAGGTGTCATGTACCCTGTCAATATGGGGGTAGTTGAAATCACCCATTATTGGGTTTTCTGTTTTTGTAGCCCCTCTAATGTCCCTGAGCACTTTACAGTCACCATCACCATTCTTGTGAGGCAGTTGGTAATATATTCCTACTGCTATACTCTTATCACTCAAGCATAGGATTTGTATCCATAGAGAAACTTGTTGCACAGTCCTACACTTTACTTTTGACACCTGAATTGTCTCCTCTGCTAAACTTAGAAAATCTTGTAGCAAAGAAAAGAGGATGGGTGCTCCTGGAAGTGCAGCTGAAAACCGATCCTGTGAACAGAAGACTGTGGTGAACTAGACAAATAGAAATATAATTAGAGCAGTGCTAGAGACAGATTTCTGTTTCCCCACCTCCCAGGTCTGCCATAGGAAGGAGGTCTCTTTAGCTCCAAGCTGATTGCTATGTGGCCTTGGGCAAAGTCATTTAACTTGTTCATATCTTACAGATGGAAAAACTTACTTCTTTACATTACCAGTGAGGTGGTGAGGATTAACTGGTGTTTATACAGCTTTGTCGTCAAGTGCATATGTGCTAAGAATTACTGTTCTAATTTGTTCATTTAAAACAGGAGCAAGAACAATTCTGTGCCACTGAATTATTTTTTAGAATGCAGTTTTTGTAGCTTTTCATCCTAAGTTTATTTGGTTTGAACATTTTAGGCTGATACATAGTGCAGTTTCAGTTCAGTTTATATTTTAGGAGCATATTTTCTAAAATACTTGCTTCAATAAATGAGCAAAGTAGTGTGTAGCTGATGGACTCTTTGTGTCTTTATCCCCTTGTTATGAAGCATTAAAGCTATCTGTGGACAAAGTAAACTTCTGGATGAGTACTGAATTAAGAATCATTTGACTTCTGTTGCTTCCTGTGTTATAAATGATATGAATATTTCAAGGTTAAGATTAACTATTGCATGAAGGTTTACTTCTGATACTGTTTTTGCAGGGCTTTCTTTGTGTTTAACAGAATCAATACAAGAATTATCTTATTACTGTTCCTTTGTGTCCAAAACAGCCTCTGAATTTCCATAGGATCGTTGCTCATCGTGGGTGGGAAATATTTCATTCCCCATCTTGGTGCCTTTCATTCCCCTCCTTTATGGACTTGGGGAGGCAGAAATGTTGACATCCCTCTATTGAAATTTTTTTGCCCTCATTCTCCCTTCCAAAGTTGTCTACACACCTACCTGTTGACTCCTGGGGCTGCATTAATGGTGATGCCAGAGCAGGAGGGGGTGGCACAGCATTTATGCTGTCAAGAAGCAAATATGTTGAAGAAAAGTCTAGAGGAATGAATTTAATTGCCTTTTCTATAGCTATCCCCTTCTTCACACCTATGCAAGCCAAAGAAAGCATCTTTTCCATGTTAGTGGCAAGCAGTCTCAGTCTGATATAGGAGAGGAACTCTTGAATGTTTAATAAATGAATAGCTTATTCCAAGACCTCTTTTCAAAATAGTCGTCTTGACATTTCTCAGCAATGAGTGGTTATTAGAACTTGTATAAGGAATTAGCACTACTTGAAAGTAAGCTAATATTTTTGGTAATATTTATTCTAGAATCTGTTACATTTTAAAAAGTAAAGACATCTAGTTAAGAATGTACCTATTTAACTATAGTCTAATGCTGTCTTTCTTTATCTAATTTAAGACTATTTTAATTTTCAAAATTATTGCAGGTTATTTCCTTAGTGACTTTAGCATTATAAAAACATCCATAAGATATAATTATGGTCTCAATACTTCATTTTTTAAGATATTTCAGAAGATCTTCTAATATGGTAGGAAAGGGAGATTTTTGATAAATGTCAGAAGTGTTAACATTTGAAGAATGGAAAACATTTAAATTAGTCAGTTACAGTGCTTTGTTCTTTGCAGGAAATCAATGGGATCACAGCTGCGTTGGCTGAAGAGCTCTTTCACAGAGGTACTGTACCGAATTGCCTAGAATTTAACAGAGAACAATAGTGTGTATTTGGTATGCAAGTTTTCTTAAAATTATATTGTATCTGAATATACATGGAGTGACGTGTCTCCAGGCAGCCAGATATAGATTTCCCTTTTGAATGTTGTGGATCATGTTTTCTTTGGATCTTTTTTGCTCTCCTCCCCTCTGTCTCTTGCTATCAACTCTGTGTACTCCATATGGACAGATGTATTTTAGTTTGAACAATGCTGGGCCATTGTCAATGCTGGCTTGTAAAGATGCTCTCAACAGCAACGTAGAAATGCAGTAAATAGACACTGCCATGAGTCTGCTCTCCCCGGCTCTTGGAATGGACTTACTGAAACTTCTCCCAAACTCAGAACTCTTATATGATGAGCCCAGGGTGCCCTCGCCAGGAAACTTTCATAAAACCTCTTGACATGGCATATTATTCCAACACTTCCTCTTGCAACTTACACATGTTTTTTCCACATTAATTAATAAAATTTTAGCATAAGCTGAATTAAAATTTAATGTGTTCACTGTACATAAATTTGTGGCTATTTTGTACTTCTAATTTAATAGTTTAGTTAACCTCATAATTATAGTATCGTGAATGCATCCTAGTCAGCTTGTTAAAAGGCATTCTTTCCTGAGACTTGGAGACCGAATGCCTTTTCCATTAGTGTAGTGAGTTATCTTATGCTCTTGCTGCTGATAGAGCTGGTCAGGATTGCAGCAGTAGGGAACTTATGAAATTGTAAAACCGTTTCAAAGGGAGTATTCAGAAAATTGTGTAGCTCTTTAAAATAATAGTTACAGGACAAAATTCTATCCTGACTTGCAGTACATGCAACCTCATTAGCATCAATGGAATTGCTCTAGGTTTACACTGATGTGCCAGTAGCAAAGCAGAACCTGGCATTAGTTTGTAACTTTAGCACTTAGGATGAGATTTCCAAAGACCTCTGCAGCTGGCCTTCCTCTGCTCCCATTGAGGCAGGGTGGGGGTGAGAATCATTGACTGAGTGCTTTTGGAAACCCCATCCATAATTTATAAAGTTTATTATGAAAACTGATGCCTGTCCTGTCCTTAATGTCTAATTGCTGCCTCTGAGTGAGAGGAGAAATGCTAACAGTTCCAGAGCAGTGTATTTGTAGTTTATTGGCTATAGTCAGGATAGAATTTTCAGGTGTCCATGAGGGCTGACAATCTGATGCTATTTCTTACTATTTGAAAACCAGTCCAAAATAAGAGTACTAGAGTGAGAAGAAATGTTGATGGAAAATCAGGATAAGTGGGGATGCACGTTGTATTTCAGATAGTGGGAGTTCATTTTGACATTGTGAGTACAGTGGTAGTCTTAGACCTACCAGTATAGCCATTATAAATGTTTTCTATAATTCCCCATTGTATACAGCAAATGCTGTGAAGTCGGTAAATATGTTTTATTAAAAGGAACTGTTCTGCAAATGGAATGGTTAGTGTTAATTGTTCGGGAATTTATCTAAGGATAGCTTGGAGAAAGAGTGATCTTTTACATTAGATAAATGGGCTTCAGTATGTCTGATCCTGGTCTATTAAAGGTAATGGGAGTATGGCTTTAACTCCATTAGGAGGTTTTGGCCTATTGTGGCTGAAGAACCTATTTTAAACATTTAGATTTTCTGATGCAAGAAGTCCATAGTTTTCTGTTCTTCGAATATTTGTTTTAAATGGCAAAATGTGGATGTTGCTTCAGTACTTCAGTCAGAGCTAGGGTGTAAAGGGCAACTAGTTAAATCTCCAGTATGAGGTGCCCACCACCACCGTAATTCTCCTCTCTTGCCCCTTCCCCACAGCAGTGGTGGGCATCAGCTGTTCATCCCTTTGGATGAAATCTTAAAATATTATGACTCCATGTTTAATATCACTGTACTCTTGTTTTTCAGGAGAACAATTACTAATGGCTGGAGAGGTCTTCAGCCTCAGACCATTGCAGTTATATGCTATCACTCAACAATTGCGCCAGGGGAAACCTACGTGCGCTAATGGAGATGCCAAAACTGATCTAGGTCATATTCTGGATTTCACATGTAGACTCAAATATTTAAAGGTAGAATGTATTGATGTAAATAATGTAGACATTGTTTCCTTCAGTATACGCTAGAACGGATGGGCAAACTTTTTGGCCTGCGGGCCACATTGGGTTTCCGAAATTGTATGGAGGGATGGTATGGGGAGGCTGTGCCTCCCCGAACAGCCAGGCGTGGCCCGGCCCCTGCCCACTATCCTGACCCCCCCTGCTTCTCACCCCCGACGGTCCCCCTGGGACTCCTGCCCCATCCACCCCTCCCTGTCCTCTGACCACCCCCGAACCCCACGCCCCTGACTGCCCCCTGCTGCCCCATCCAGCCCCTCCTCTCATTCCTGACTGCCCCCCCGGAACCCCTGCTCCATCCTGCCCCCCGCTGCCTCATCCAACCCCTCCTCTCATTCCTGACTACCCCCCCAGGACCCCTGACCCATCCTGCCCCCCGCTGCCTCATCCAACCCCTCCTCTCATTCCTGACTACC